GGGGGGAGGGGTGATGCCACCCAAACCCCAGGCACTGAGAGTGCAGGTGAGGTTTCCCGGACAGAAACTCGGTGCCGGGTGACAGGAACCATGAATGTCCCTTAGATTCTCCTGCAGGACCAAGTCTCTTCCTTACCTTCAGCACTTTGTCCATCTCACTACAATATCCCGAAACGTGTGTCCTCTATGTAGCGGGAAGAGGAAAGGAGCTCACCTCTGAACACCTACTACGTACCAGGCGTTTTTATCCACACGTATCCCATCAAATTCTCACAATGAAGCCACAGGGGAGTACAGCTGCCACTGGGTTGCAGGAGGAGACTGAGGCCCAGGGAGAAGGGCTTTGCCCAAAGTGACAAGCAGGCCGGTGGCAGAGCTGGACTCACTCACAGATACTGATGTTACTCGTTATGTCTGCCCCCGCCCGCCCCTGCCACTGTGTGGGGGCCCCACTTCTTTGTACAGCTGCCCCTCTGCCCAGCCCCCAGCACAGAGTCCCCCACAGCAGGTGCTTGGGAACTAAATGTTGACCTACCTGGCTTCCCACAGGCAGGGTGGAAGAAGGGGCTGGGAGGCCTGGGGGCTTCTGAGGCTGTTTACCAGGGAGTGGACCCCCCCCATACAACTTCATGCAGCTGCACATCTGGGCAACCCCAGGCTGGGCTGGGCAGTTCTGCTCTGGCCAGAGAGGAGCCTGTTAAGGGAGGGACAGCTGAGTTGATGCTTTCCCCTGGGGTCTCCAGCCCCCTGTGAGCAGGGCTGTGGCTCAGGGAGCCGTGGAGGAAAATGCATGATCCCCAGAGAGGGGGATGCTTCCATCCCACTCTCCCCAGGTTTGTACCAGTTCCTGGATCTAGCTGGAGAGAGTGGATGGTGTGAGCAGAACGCTCTGGAAGCCAGGTGAGAGTTACGTAAGAACAGCCAGCACTACCATGTGCAGGCCCTGACTATGGGCCAGGCCCTGAGTGTGCCCTTTCAGTGTCCATGTCCCCACAGTTCTGCAAATGGAAGCATACACCTCCTCCCTTCGTGGGCATCCTGTCCAGCTCCCCCAGGTCGTGGTGAGAAAACGGAGCCATGAAGAGGGGAGGAACTCGTCCAAGGTCGCCAGCACCAGAGAGCGGGGGTTACACTTGCGTCTGACCTCAAAGCACACGTTTTGCCTACTGTCTCCTGCCTGGCATGTTCTCTCCTATTCTCCGGCTGTCATCTCCTCAGAGAGGCCTCCCCCACTCCACCCCTTTTTCTTTCTGAGCCCTTTATTCATTCCTTCACAACACGCTTTTTTTGTGGCAGCTGGCGGGTATGGGGATCCGAACCCTTGACCTTGGTGTTATAACACCGCACTCTAACCAACTGAGCTAACCAGCCAGCCCCCACATTTTGCTGTTGATAATTCTTGTATTAATTTGCTTTATGTGTCAATCTCCGTACCTCCCTGTAAGCTCCATGGGGACAAGGGTTGATCGGGTCTAATCTGTCCCCCATTATCTCCTTGCTCATGCCTGGCACGCAGTCAGAGCCCAGCCAGTCTGTTGAGTCAGGTGCCATACGCCCCAGCAGACTGGGTAGCAGCAAATGGCCCCATTGCCCTGGATCTTGCTGCCACCTCTCTCTCATTCCTTTCCTGCCATCCAGGGTCTCAGCCGCCACAACCCTAATAGAAGCTTGTGCCCCTTAACCGCTGGGGCGTCTGTGGGGGGAGAAAGCTGGTCCGAGTCTGGCAGGGAGGGGTGAGGGGAGCAGGGCTTCTGAGCTGGCAACAAAGGGCGTGTGTTCTTGTCCAGTGCACTTCCTGGGTTCCCGTTGCAGGAAGTTTGGCACCTGCCTATCGGTGACACCAACACCCAGGCTGGTGTGGGAGACTCTTGGCCGAGACATGCCCCTCTATCCAGGAGCAGCAGTGGAGGTGGAACAGGAGGCCAGGGGTGCTGGACTGAGGGTGAGTGGTGGCAGCTGGACCCCCACGTTCCCCTTAAACCATCCCAAGCCATTGTTAGCCAGAGCAGATGTGGGAGGCCTGGGTCCTAGACTGAGCCGGTGTGACCTTGGACAAGGCCCCCAGTCAACCCTCCAGTGGCTCACGGAGGTGAGGGAGGGCAGCTCCGTTTTTCTCTGTCGTAAATAAGCTCCCGAGTCACCAGGAACTTGAAAAGGGGTTCTATAGCCAAAAGTGTCTCCTCCTTCAGGTCCTTCCCAACTCTGGTGTTCAGGGGGCTCCCTCCTTCCTCCCTGAGGAGAGAATAGGAAAGTTTCCTGCAAATACTGCTG